TCTTCAATATGTTTTGTTTAACAATGTTTGTAAAATACTGTGTTAAAAATGAGCAATACAAGTATATAATAAATGATAGTTTTTTGTTATCTTTTTTGTTTCTATTGTTTTATAGTTTTTAATAATAGTTTAGTTAAAATGTATTGCTTCATAGCTTTTAATGGACTGGAATTAATAAAAAAAATACTGATGTTATTTTAGGAAATAGCGCACCCTTTATTTCCAGAGCGTAATGGTGCCATTACCAAATATGGTATGGGTCTTACGCGGACCCGCCCCTTTCTGCCTTCTGCAGCCAGGGGTACTTGCTCCCAGGTGTCACCACTCAACTCATTTATTCTGTCTTCACTGACCTGCAGTCATTCATTCAGAGCTTCAGTTCATGTCTGGTTCACCTCTTTGAGTTTCTTTGTTTTGTCTGATACCACAACACATTTTTTTATGAAAATGAGAATCTCCAGGTAATAMCACATCTGATTTATCCTCCATCACTAGTGAGGAGCACGAAACGACACAGAGTTAAGCTTTGCCTGTCTGAGTTCAGCTGAAATAAATCCACCAGCAGTTTTTTCCAGAAACTCTGGCCTCAGAAACTTTCTTGGCGTCCTGCAGCTGTGGTCAGAGCTGGAGGAAAGAAAAAAGGAAGCAGCGACCTCCAAACACTGATGAAGGCTCTAAAAGTCTTTAAAAAGTTTAAAAGTTAAAACTACTTTTGATGGAAAATTTTGTGCTATGCCTCGTTTGTGTTTGACTTAAAAAAGGAAAGAAAAGAAAATCAAACAATCAAGCATCTATAAAGAAATTGAGTTATTTTATTTAAATCTGTTTAACTTATTCTAACTCTTTGTGTGATGATGTTCTTCTTACCCAGAAGCAATGCCTCTTTCTCTGAAGCTACTCCTCCTCTCCTGAACTCAGCCCTCCTGTCTCTGTTGAGGTACATGGACGGGACGCACCCATTAACGCTCTAAGACACAAACATATGGAAAGTATAGAAAGCAGTCTGTTTAAATGCCACACAGACATGCGGGGTGGTAAGAAGGACGTTTTCTCCTCTGGACTCTCTTCAGAGACGGGGTGAAGTTCTGAGCTGCTGCTTCCACAGAGGATCCAGCTGAAACCAGGATGTCTCCTGGAAGYTTCTTATTCTGAAATTTATTCATTTCTTAATTTTATTTTCAATTTCTTCAGTATCCAAGTAGAAGTTTACTGAACTTAGAGACKGCTGACTATGATCAGGAGTGGATATTAGATGATTTGTGACTGGCCACGGCAAAACCAGGAACAAGTCTCCCCGGTGGACGTGGGTGCTAAGCTATACAATGATGTCAAACACATGGCAATAGAATAAAATAAAATAAAGTAAAGTAAAGTAAAGTAAAGTAAAGTAAAGTAAAGTAAAGTAAAGTAAATGAAGAGCGTATGGACATTTGAATTTTGACAAACTGCAAACAAAATTAGGGAGAAAACAGGCCTCCAAGTTTGAGGGGAATTGTCCCCACCAGAGGGCACTACCTGGGGGTGTTAACAAAGGCTGTTCAAAAAAAAAAGGCTGTTCATTAATTTGCATCAACCCTGCCCCCCAGCAGTGACTGTCAAMACAGCCATACACTGTCCCCCTCTCTGCCCATCTTTAAAATCTGTCTTCTTCTTTTTTTTTTTAACTCTTTGGCTTTTTACCCAATGATTTTATCTGTCTTATTGCTTTGTTTTATTATGTTTTATATTGTGTTTTTAATTTGTTTACATTGTTTTGTATTTTGYTTTTTCATTTTATTTTGTTCGTTTATTATTTTTTGTCTTTCTCTGTAAGACCCACTGTAAAATTACAACATTACTTTTAGCTGCAACAAAAATAAACCTGCAAATGTCCCTGATGTGACATGCAAGTGCAGAAAAAACATGACGTCACATTTAGCTGGCTGTTTGTTTACTGTTAGCTAAACTTGCTACTTGACATCGATTGTGAAGTTGCTGTTCAATCAGATCTGATTAAATAATTACCTGACACGCTTATTTAGTTCAGTGTTTATATCTGAACCTGCCTCTGATGCAATTCTCAGGTGAAGCAGTTTACTTTTGGGACAAAGCGAAGGGCTTTGAAGTGCTTTTGATAGTAAAGTATCAAACTTTAGGATCGATACGGGACTGTGACCAAAGAAAGATATTTCTGTCATGTTTCTGTGGATTTTCAGTCAACCAGGACATGGAAAATAAAAAAAGACAAAGCAACTGGACTTCTGTTTTGTAGCTGAAGAAGTGTGGAGTTACCACATTTAAGCAGCATGACTCCAGGTGAGTGTCTTACTGATCCTTCACCCCTTCTCCTAACAAAAACTGAAAAAGCCTCCCACCATGGCGTGCTTTCTTTTCACCCAGATCTTTCTGTGGATGTTGTCATCTCCAAAATAAAGACCAAATGTTGTGGTGGCGATCAGCTTATTAAACGTTACGATCCAGCTCCTCACCGCGAGTTCAAAGCATCTTTCATCTTCCTCATCCTCAGCTAACTTCAACTGCAAACTCAGAATGTTTTCCTAAGTATTGTGGTCGCGATCATCGACTCTTCTGCTCCATCTTGTTCTGATTCAGAATCAGAAGTGACATTGAAGTCTGTCTTGGTAAAAAAAAGATACTACCACTGCGACACAGACACTGTGATGTGCTGTAGATAAAGCTGCTGTTCACTTCTGAAGCAGCACATTCTTGATCCACGTTCATTCAAAGACAGAATTCAAAAGCATTTAAGAACTGGTTACGTAGCCATGCCAGCATGTTAATCAGCTGTGCAGCTCTCCTCCTCAAAACGTAAATTGTCGGTCRGCTCTTTTTACTCTGAAAACAGGCTGAATTCGAACCTAAAGATTACCATTTTAAAACCTCTGAAACTGCTACTTAGAGTATGGTGTGGATTCTTCATAACTTCACCTAGTATATTTTGCAAAAAAAATCACTATTTTCTCAGAAAAGGATGACATTTCCTTTTTTTTTTCTTCGTTTGTGCTTCAGCGACTTGTTACTATTTTTGCCGAGGCGCGCCACACTTACTCTTGTTCCCTCCAGTTTATTGCTTCAAACATGGGGATTAAATTAAAATGTAAAAAGTTGTTTTTTATTATCTGTAGTTACAAAGATTTAGAAATGCATTTTAACATTTGTATGAAAAGTGTTGTCTTTCAGAGTCAGTGAATATTTAACTTTCCTCTCAGAATGACTTGAACTGTTTTTGTTWTTCACCTTTTCATGAAACTCTTGACTGGTTCCCTCCGCAACTTCTCCATCACTGCCCAGCAGCTGTAGACACACAAACACAACACAAAATATTTTATGCAGTTTGGATWTTTTTTAAAGATAACTCCAAAATGTACTTTGGTTCTTTAAACGATTATTCTCACTGACCAGATCAAAAGCCTTTGCTGACACCTTAATAAAAAACAACCAGAACTCAGCCTATGAATAAACGTCAAAGAGACATGCTTCGGCATATGTTCCATCTTCTTACAACTGATCCAGCAGCTGCATGAGCTCCAAACTAAAGGAAGTGACATGTTTCCCAGAGGAAGAACCAGAAACTCCTCTTCAACTGAGCCTCCAGCTTTGGTGACAAAAAGCATCAATTTACCAGCGGGAAGTGATGTGCAGCTAAACGAGGAGGGAGGTGATGGTGAACGTGTGTGTGAGGAATACAAATGCTTAATATTTACACAGTGTTTTGTTACATGATGTATCTGAGTTGTCTCAGTATATTCATGCTGATGGAATGTTATGGGAGGTGTGGATGTGTTTCATCAGTAAGGTCTGGTAGAGAACTTCTTGTTTCAACAAAGATGGAAAATATGATGCAAAATAGTAAAAAAAAATAGACAAAATGCTTTAGAGATCTGAGACTGGGATGGACCATAACCACCCTGCTGAAGCTACAGTGTTTTAAGGAGAACCAGTTAAAGTTCTGGACTAGTCGAGTTAAAATCAAGACCTCCATCTAACTGAGAATCTCTGGCTTTATTTAGAGACGAGCCATTTCCATCCACCGAGAAGACTGGTCATGAAGAAGCTTCATTTAGAAGCCTCAGTGTTAACGTGTTTTATAAACTTGTGTTGTCTCCATCCTCAGTCTGAAGTTGTCAGTCTTTCCTGTCAAACAAGTGACTGACAGCTGGAACAAGTCAGACAGCTGTCCATCAGCAGAACAAGTCAACCTTTTCACAACATCACATTGTTTCACCTTCAGACACCTAAGAGCTCCAGACTCACTCAAAACATGTGTGACGGCCCTGCTGCGCCTCCTGCTTACAGCTGATTAGGCTGGCAGGTGCCTTCTATGAGTTGTGCTTCCGTTTAAGGTCCTGAAGGGGAGGAGCTGAAGAGGTCGGAGCTTGTCTTAAGGAGCGTCTGGACTGAGGAGGAGAGGTCTGGCGGTGTGAGGCAACGACGGCAGCACGAACACTGTGTGGCAGTGTGTGTAGTGAGAGGTCCGAGGTCTGCAGTGTGACGAGGGAAGCACTGTGAGGACAAGAGGAGGACGAACACACACGGAGGGGCACGCTGCATTGTGAAGACGAGAGAAGGTCCTGCCTACTGCTGTTTCTACTGCTGATTAGCTGGATGGCTAATGTTTGGTTGGATCTTGAGCTCTGAAGCGAGAAGGGATTGGAGCTGACGGACAACAGCTGCGTGGGGCGTTGTACGTCAGAAGACGGCGTCATGAAGGCAGACTGGCGGCCCATCCTGCTTCCTTTAATCCAGCATCGTGTTTCCATGTTGGTGAGCATAACAAAGACTTCACTGATCAGTTGAACTTTCCAGTGACATGCTTATGGTTGGAGCATCGCTGTGGAGCTGAGTGAAGAAAAGACTGAGGACAGCTATGTTTACATGCACAAAATTTTTTGATCAGATTGAAATGTATTCGGATTAAATAATCCGAATGTATTGTTTACATGGACACAATCCGATCATGAAAAGTGTTTACATGCAATGGACTTTTATTCAGAGTAAAAGTCTGGACATGCACAGTGTTGTAAACTGCCAGCTCCACTTCTGTGTTACAAACGTAAACAAAGCTCCTCTGTGCACTCAGGACGGA